AGTGTACATTAAATAGACATGACCTTGGCCCTCTAAGGTTCTTTGTCACAGAAAAGTGGAATGAATGCAGAGTGTGATTGCTTTAGGGCACACTCTCTTGTCTGTAACCCTGTACTCCTTGCCCTGTAACTAAGCCTCATGAACTCTTTGGTTTTCTGTGTGAACTTTAGTGGCATCATACCTTGATCTGTCCTAAGGACGTCAATGGGGGAGGCCTTGTTTGTGTCTTTCCTGGGGAAAAAAGGTAATAGTTGCTGATTGTTGGTAATGATGATCCTGCCAATGAATGATTTGTATATTTGCTGAGGCCAATGACTTACCATATGTAATATGTCCAGTAGTGACCAATGGTTTGCACATATGCTACATAGGTGTGTATGTATATTATATTAGTGTCATGAGATATATATGTATTATAAATTAAGCTATACACACACAAACCATAATGTTTTCCTAATTTGAAAGAACAGAGACAAACTCTGCTTATAATTTCCTAATACTTCAGCTGAAACTATGCATAAATAAGTTGGTGGTACACTTAATTTCCTTTTTCACATGTTGCTGTATTTTCTAAGAAGTGACAAATACAAAAAAAATTATCTGAAGTTGCAAGGGGAACACTCTCTCATCAAAAGGTTCAGCTGAAAGAGGCAAAGGGAAGAAGTATGGAGTAATTATAATGAAAACAGAAAATCAATTTGTTGCGTTCACATTGTCAAATCCCCCAGGCATCTTCAGTAGCTCTGAAGCAAAGCAAAGCAAAACAAAACAAAAACCCAACAACGATGTCTACTTTCACCAAGGAAACAGCCCCCCCCCTCTGCATTCATTCCACTTTTCTGTGACAAAGAACCTTAGAGGGCCAAGGTCATGTCTATTTAATGTACACTGACACCGCCCACTGAGATCTGGACACTTAGTTTTGGCTGAATGGATTGATAACAGGGGGTGTATATGGGGGGTGTGGGGCTTGTATATGCTAGTGGTATGTGGTGGGTGAGAGTAGTTTAAATTTTCTTTAACTATCAGAACATGTTGTAAAAATATAAGTGAAATATTCAAAAACAACATATGGTATATTGTGATGTGTTTCAACTAGTAAAGAATTTTAAAGTCAACTGAAGATCTCTTTCTAATAAATTGAAGCACAGGTGATTGAGAGCCCCTTAGGAACTGGACGTGTTCTGCAGTGAGCTGCCTAAGGAATGGAGCCAACCTCACCACATAGTGCCAAGGCAGTCGGCCAGTCTTAGAAATTCAAAGTGCAGGGTCAAATATATTCCCGGAACCCAAAAGCCAAGAAACGGTGGGAGGGGAGGAAACATTGGGAGCCACAGTCCAGAAGGAACCAGTCCTTTCTCCTTTGCCGATGAGCAAGCAGGGCTCACTCCACCCATGTTGCCCCACACAACCTTGCACTCTCCTTGGGACTATAAAAGAGTTTCCTATGATGCCAAGTTTGATTTTGGTTCTTCAGCGCCATATACAACATCAATGAGTCAGAGATGACACCTTAGAAATGAGGCTGACTTCCTCAGGGGCAACCTGTTCCCTCCTCCCATCTCAGACCATGCCTTTGGGCTGCCTGCCATAGGCGTCATTATCAGAATGCAAGTGGTCTGGCTACCACAGGTCTCTGTCCTTGTCACAGTGCTCCAGCCTCTGCCAGAGACAAGCTGGGGACACTGGAATGAGACAAAGTACTTCCTTTAAACCAGAAAGCTTCGCAACCATCCTCCAGCTCAACTATTGAAAAGCCTACCGTAGCCTCTGACTCACCTACAGTCTGGTCTTTCTGATTTTTCATTCCATCTAGCGTGCACGTGAGTGTGTGTGTGTGTGTGTGTGTGTGTGTGTGTGTGTGTGTGTACACTCATGTGCATGGGGGAGGCTTTATAGGCATCAAAACCAAACTGATTTCATATATGTTCATGTAATCTTTCCAGAGAAATTCTGTGTGTTTGTTTATTCTAAAGTCAAGTTCTCACTCTGTGTAAAGCTTAGGTTGGCTTCTAACTTGGGACCCTCTGGCCTTAACCTCTTGAGCGCTGGGATCACAGGCATGTACTACCATGTTCAGCTGAAAATTATTTTTTTTCTAGTTTTCAGACAGAAGGATACTTTAAAACAGTGGTCCTCAATTTGTGGGTAATGATCTCTTTTGGGGTTGCATATCAGGTATTTACATTACAATCAATACCAGTAGCAAAATTACAGTTATGAAGTAGCAACACAATAATTTTATGGTTTGGGGTCTCACTATATGAGAACTGTTAAAGCAAAATGAAATATATGCGGATCACGATGGAGTCACAGCATGTTTGATGAACAGATAAGTTTTAATAGGAAAGTACTCACTCGACAGAGTCAGTCCTGTACAACTAGGTGGACCATGGAACAGAGAGAGCCGCATGCATGCAACCCTCATATTTAAAGTCTTGTTACATCGGTCACTCTGACCATGCCCCAGTGTGTGTGGTTTGTATCACCTGTACCAGCCCCCAAGAGGGTGTGGCTAACATTTCACCTACAAACTGTATTAAAGGGTCACAGCATTAGGAAGGGTGAGAGCTACTGCTCTGAAACCTTTTGGGGAAGGAAGAATAATTTCTGAATGATTATCATCATTACAGAGGCTTTTTATATTTTAAAGGATGGTCATAATTAGAGCCTCTTTCTAAGAAAGTGTGAGAACATAAGGAAAGCCTTGGGTGGGGCCCTAGACATTCCCATGTGCCTTGGAAACAGGATATGATAGCTTTGAAACTTTTTAATATGATGCTTGTTTTAAATGAATGCCATAAATAACCATTTTGGAAAATGTTGAGATACTTGTAGTTAGTGGAGGATGAACTTCAGAGAAGGCCATATAAAGAAACTGAAGTTTCCTGTAACTTTTGTTGAGCCAGAATGTTTTCCATGAAAAATCAGTCCTCAGTCATAGTCAGGAAGACAAACCAGAATCTTGAGCTCAGACTTCCCTGGAGAAGTCATTAGCCTATTGTAAATCTGCCCAGATCCAAGGCAGACAGTATGTCTTTCTCAGAAAGCATGTCGTTTGGGCTATCTGACATATATTGGTGAAGAAGGGAGTTGAGTTTTTGGAACTAAGACATAGACAGATCTTGATTTTAAGCCATGTGCACAAGCAACGTTGCTTCTTGACTTAAGCCCTAAGACCTTGTTGCTAAAATTTCTTCCCATGGGAAGATGTGATAGCATCTACCTCTCCTCCTAAGGTCTCAATGACAGACTGAGGAGTGATCCTGCTAAAGTTCACTCCAGAAAACCAATGTATTTATTGGGCTTACTTACAGAGTACAGAGGAGTGGTCACTCATGTGAGTATGGGTGATCCTCCCCCCAGAGGCTGCAACCGTAAAGCCTTTACCCAGCAGGGACAATCACTTCACCATAGCTGCATAGATGGGGGCCCCTCACCTAGTCTTTCCCAGCTTCACCTAGCTCCTTCCCGAGGCCGCATGCAATTAAGGCAGAGTTGTGTACAGCCAATGGTAGTGAGGCTGGATACTCTAGTGAGTGTCTTCTGACCCTCCCCAACTCCTCCAAGATGGCATTTAAACA